ATGCAAACTCTGCCACACAATAAAAATACATTATGGATTCAATCAGACTGTTACAAGTTATATTACCCTTGGAGATTAAAATTCAATATCTATAAACACAAAAAGTTACATGTCCAGATGTAAAGAAAATTAAAAATCTTCAATGATCTACTCCCTCCGTCCGCCTAAGATGTTCTCATTTTGACTTTTGGTGGTTTTTAAGGAGAGTTGAAAAAAGGTGAAAGTTTACCATAATACCCTTAATGAAAAATGGGTGGAGTGTATTAAATGAGGTGGGTGAGGTGTAATAAATAAAGTAAGTGGGGGTAGTTGTGGTATTTTACTTGTTAAAAAATGAAATGAGAAGATCTATTGTGGACAAAGAAAAAGGGCTATTGGGAAGATCTATGGTGGACAGAGGGAGTATTTATTACTAGCAAATAGCATTCACATCCTGGAACGTTTCAATCCAAACCTTTTAAAAGTGGTGAAAGTGAACACCCCTCAATGGTAATAAAAACCTAAGTATGTGAAATAACATTAATATACAACAAACAGTCATAGCCTATATTAAATTCAACATGAGAAAAAAATCTCACAAAATAGGATTAAAAACACATTAAAATCTTTCAAGCCCTAAAACATTCATAATTAATCATACTCAAATTGAACAATAAAATCCAAATCAAGACATAAACGAAGAGGAAATTTAATAAATTTATGTACTTGAGGACTATACCTTAGAAAACATCCCTAATGCTAGATTTTTTGGGATAAGGCTTTGTATAGGGTGCTCTTCATCTCCAAGTCGTTGCCGGTGGTAGTGTCTCAAGATTATCCCTCTTAACGTTCCCCGTCGCTAAATGATACTTCGTACCCTAGCCTAGTAGCCTCGGCATCTTCTCGTTGGTTACTAACTGCTAGTGTTCCGAACCCTAGTCCTGTCATCATCTCGTTCCTATAGTTGCGATCTCTGTTCTCCCGTCTCACAAATCGAAGAAGAAGACGAAGAAAAATGAGTATGAGGTGATCTCGTTTCCCCAATTTCATCTCTCTTCAATGATTTTATAATTTTACCCAATCGATTTGATAAACTCCGTGTCTGTGGATCGTCAGAGAAATAAGTTTTTTTTCCTACGGAATGAGTATTCAAGAATCAAGATGATTGGGATTAATACATCGTTTATTTTACATTTTTGTCTTTTTGGATTTTTCCTACTTATTTACAGTTTTTTACTCTAAATTAAGATATGTAAATTAAATTTTAATATTAATAAAATCAATATCGACAGATAAAACTTTGTTGCTAAAACTATAAACAATACCGACAGAAAAATATTTGTTTCTAATACTATAAACAATATCGACAGATATGTTTTTTATTGCTAATACTATTAACAATACTGACAGATAAAGTTTTGTCTCTAAAACTATAAGCAATACCGACAGATATAATTTTGTTGCTAAAACGATAACCTATAGCGACAGATATTACCCTTTTTGTGGATCAAATAGTTGTTTCCTTCAAATAATTTTATCTGTCGGTAATATTCTCTTTTTAGCGACAAATAAGGTTTCTGTCACTAAGGATCTGTCGGTAATGCCCACTTTTTTTGTAGTGATGAAAAATGCAAAGAATAAAGAAAGAGTAACTTCACTTTCCACTCCCGATGAGAAAGCAAGCCTGGAATCGCTTGAGCCACGCCAACCCCTTCTTCCGTGAGACTGAAGTGGCTGCCCATCTCAAGACCTGACTGCTCTTCATCCAATTCGCTCCCAAAGCTTCACATCTGCTCATCTTCCATCTCACTTTCCTCATATTCGCTGTCATGCCAACTTCAGAGCTGGTCTCGTATGACTCACTCTCTCTGTCCTCACTGTGTAATGCATCAATATTTTCTCTCTCTCCGTTCTCAAACTCTCTCTCCGTTCTCAAACCTCTCATCTTCGGACTTCATCCCTTGATAATGAAGTTCAGACTCAGAGATTTGAGATTCATAATGTAACTCAATCTCAGGAATCTGAGAATCCATATCAAGGTTGGGGTTGAAGATTAGATCAAGGGTTTTGTGGGAGAAGAAATTTACACAGACACGAATAGAGGGTGAGACGGAGAGGGGAGAGGAGGAGAGACACAGAGATGGCGAGGAGGAGAGATGCAGAAACGACGAGATGGAGAGAGAAACAGAAGGGCGAAGATCTAGATCTAGGTTTAGAGAGAGGAGACGAAGAGTCCAGGAGTGGAGATAAGGTTGTGACATAAGTGTGGAGTTATGTGGTGGTTGGAGTAGATAAGTAAGGTGGGGGTATTCTAGACATTACACACCCTTTTTAAGTGTGTGGAAAGATAGTTTTAAGATGGGAAAAAAAAGAAAAATGGGAAGAACTTTTTAGGAGAGAGTACATTATTTCATTATTACATTATTTCATTATTTTTCATATAAACTCTACGGAGGGTTAACGCTTATGGCACTCTTCAGAACCGCAGAAGCGGGCCTGACACCGACCATCACAAATTGCTCCGTTGTCGCCGTCGATCACTCTAATATTTACTACAGAGTCTGCGCCGGATGCGAAAGGCCCCTTGCTGATCCCAATCCGGATGATCCTTCACCTGCTTGCATACCCTGTTGCTCTTCCAATGCTCTCAGTCCCGCATCCTTTGCTTCCAAGCGCCTCTTCCGCGTCCTCGTAAGTACCAGAATTCTTCCATTGATTCAATCTGTTCATGTTTTCTAAATTTGATTCGCGTGCAAGTGATGGAATATTTGAATTCTCCACGGAAAAGTTTTTTTTTTTTTTTTTTTTTTGTGAATTGAGTGTTGGTGTGTGATATTTGGCAGATGTCTATAGCTACGGATACCAAGGTGTTCGTAGTGATACTGTTTGACAGAGCGGCTAGGGTTCTGTTTGGTTGTTCTGCTGATGAGTTCTTTGAGTACGCCAAGAGTCATCCTTTCGCAGGTAATTTGCACTTGCCAATTTCTTTTTTGGTAGAAACTCAGATTTAGGGTTTGGTGTTTTATTTTTGAAATCTGAATGAAAGTTTAAACAAAAAACTGAACATTGAAATCATTAAATTTTTTATTTATTATTAATCAGAAACAATAGCATCACTCTTTGTTCTATCAAATCTTTAAAAAAGCAATTTGCAACAAATAGATATTGCATCAAAAGGAAACTGTTTGTCCTGGTTGCTCATTTATTCTGTTTTGTAATTTATATCATTGTTATGAATTTGTTCCCTCATAAGCCAGGCCCTTGTGGTGGAGTCAAATGATCTTCACATTTTTTGTTGTTCCATAGTGGCATGATCATTCTTGTTGTTTATCTTTTGGCCAACGGGGTTAGCATTAAGATGCAAGTGACTGAATTAACCATGTTTTGAACAACTGAAGGATTGGGGTGGGTGTATCGGGAGTCAGCCCAATATGCCCAACCCATTTATTATTATTCGTTTGTATTTAGGTCCATGTTGTTCGTCCTATTCTATGTAGTATCCACCACTAGAGGAAGTCCACATGAGAGGGATGCCCGAACCGAAAGTAAGTTGGAACTTGGAAGCCTACATAATATGGATTGTGAATGGAGTCATGGCGATGCTAGGTCTTCAGGAGGGAATGCTCCACACGCCAATCACGATCCGTGATTAATTCCACTAGTTGTAAATTGTAACTGCCTGAACCCTGCACTACAAATACTACTTCTGCTTCCTTAGAAAAGAGATCGTACTCATGATATTCAAAGAGCATTATCTAGATTCATCTCTTCTTATTTATGATTCATATTACAATTTAATATGGAGTATCAATATTCATATTAATTCCAATGGATTAAACTCTATCAGTTCGTGCTTTAATTGAGAGCCAAAACATATACCTTCGAGCTTGTTCATTTAGATCATTGTCTGGAAGAAAGTTGAGAAACACAAACAAGAAGAGCGCTGCCACAGACAATGGTATCCTTGAAGTTGAGCACTCTGCTGGGGTATCGGTTTAGGATCAACCTGTGCGATTATTGCGGAATACCCACACGTAGACCAGGGAACTACCCTGCAAGGGATTGCAACCATTCCGAATACCAAGATGAGTAAGTTAGTCTAGCCCGTTTGCAGCTCGGTGTTCGCGAATACCACCCTCCCCAAGATCGCATTGGGTTGCAATGTGTTCTCATGAGGAGCTACCCGTCTTGTGGGATGTTGAATTTTAAGGGATATATAGAGAAATTCATGTAGAGAAGGACTGTTGGGAATACAAGCTCAATCCGGAATATGAAAGGCTCCAAAAATAGATGGCCGATGGAGCAGTGGGGTTCGTGCAGAAAAATGGGGGTTGACCAATTTGACTCCAAACAACTATCGCCAAAGGCATCACCATTCACGTGATCTGGAGGAACCAACTCAAGGGAGTTGAGTAATTGAGAGATTGTTGACCGAAAGAGTCCGAGTGCATGATAGGCTTTGCCGGAGAGGACACTAGGGTCTAGGAAAAGAACTAGATGGAAGATGAAGAGTGGTGTATGGTACTACGGTGTACCATGTCCACAAATGCCTCTTATGGACTAGGGAGGGGGAGGGATGGACGGATGGTACTACCACCCTTGAGGGCTTTAATTTTTTTATGATGTTTGCTTCATCTTTAGAGTGTCTAATACTGTAGGTCAATATGAGGCACTGCTCTACGACTTACGTCTCACAGCTAGGTCCAGGTTCAACTGTTCAAGGTTGGGTACAAATTCTATGCGACTCTTCACTCTTAACTTGTGGTTTTGGCAAATCACATGGGAGTTCAACACGATGGAGGAAATGATGCAACAGTACTAGATCATAGACCAAGTATATTAAGGAGTATTGCCAAAATTGAGGAACTGGCATGTTCGAGCCTACAAGCAACTGTAGTGGAATGGATCACCTTTGGGCCTTTAAAGTTGCTAGATCATTGACCAAGTATATTAAGGATCCAACTAGATGATTCAAGAAAGTCAAAACAATTAAAGATGAGAGCTCTGAGCTATGTCAATTTGGATGGTAAGGTTCTTAAATGGTCCTAAAACGGTACGCTGCTCCATTGCCTACGAAAGGAAGAGGCAAAACTAGTCAAGATAGAAATACACATAGATATTCACGGTCCATCAGGGCTCCTTTGCTTGCTATATCCTGGAGAGTAGTTCAGTTCATGAGGGGTAATTTTGGCGGACAATGATGAACGACTACGAGGCCTATGTCTGAGATGTTAGGTATGCCAACAGTTCTAAAAGGTACCCGAAAGGCGAGTGACCAATGACACCTTTATCAACTCGTTTATTTTGTTTTTGCGCTAGGGGATTAACCTCACCGCCCTCACAGAGGTGCAAATCAAGAAGTTTGTGTGAAAACATATCTTATGCAAATATGGCAAGAGTCAAGTTGAAAATGCAAACATGACTATCATTGATGGTCCTAAGAAAAAATTCCTCATTGCTTGGAGATACCGGACTACGGGCTTGTTCTCTTCACAATGATTTTGATATGATCGGATAAGTTCTTATCTGGTCTGATCTCATCTGAATGTAGTTATATTTAAAGCTGTTTCTGATTTGGTCTAATCTCATCTGAATGTAGTTATATTTTAACTCATTTCTAATCTGGTTTGATATGATCCGAACTGAAATGATTCCAATAAGAATAAGTAATAAGTAATAGAAATAAGGTCATGTTCTCTTCACCTGATCTAATTGGTTCTGATCTGATTGGAATAAGTTCTGATATGATCTAGTAGGGTCTTATTTGGTCTGATCTAATCTTAAATGTAGCTATTTTTAAAGCTATTTATGATCCAACCTGATCGGATCCGATCTGGTCTGATTCCAATAAGAATAAGTAATAAGTAAAAAAAATTAGTTGAGGAGAACATGGCTTAAGTTGAAGAGAACAGGCTCTACACACTGCAAGGCCCTTTACGATCACTTATAGTTTGGAAGTGAGAGCTCCCATTTAGGCGTTCTTTCAAGTAAAGGTGCAAAGAATATGATTTAAAAGGGAACGAGGCAAACCAAGCTATGACGAAGAACTTCCTAGAGGAAAGTTGCAGGGAAGAGTGAACAAGTGGAGATAAGTAAAGGCATACTTTAATGTCCGGGTCATGTCTTAGAGCTTCCAAGTTGGAGATTATGTCACGCAAAAAAGAGAGAAAAACAAACCCTTGGAGGGTCACAAGCTCTCAAAGGCCTACGAGGTGCCCTACATTGTCGAAGCTGTAGTGCATCCGGGGACCTATAAATTGGTCACTTCCAAAGGCAAGGATGTTGATAAAACGTGGAATAGTTAGCACCTTGTATGTTCTATAAGAAAGGCACATTGAACCTCGATGAGGGAGACTTCCCGCTTGGGATATCGTCACCATTTTTTGTACTAAGGCATTGAATCCAGGTAAAGAAATGACCCCATGTGACCCTGAACTCATATTATTAATAAAAATATTTCTTTCCAGATTAAAATTATTTGCAAAAGAAAAGGGGTGAGCAAACTGCATGGCTCAAAACATGGTAGTCAAACTCGCGATTTGACTCGTACGAGTCTACGAGTCTGAGGATCGCCAGGAGCTTCCCGATCCGAAACGGCTGCAGAATCGTGAAATCCAATAGAATCGCCTGGATCGGCGATTCGGCTCGTGAAAACGCAGGATCGCATACAATTGGCGATTGTGAGAAGCCCAAACAGCATCGCTTCAAAATCTTCTTCCAATCGCAATTTGAAGTTGTCGGGAATTGTAATTGGAAAGTCGCGTCTGTCGCGACTCCCAATTTCAATCGGAAACCAGCGTATCTTCTTTTATTTATTCCCAATTTCAATCGGAAACCAGCATAAATAGCTTATCTTCTTCTATTTGTTTGGGAATCGAGACTTCTACTACCAATCGACTTCTAATCACGACTTGGGACCCTTAATTTATCAGCCTTCCTTCGGCTTTTTTTCGGACTCCCTTACAATGTCAATCCCTACTTTAGCCACTCCATTTAAGTCATTTGTGATCCAACTTGAACTTGTGTTATGTTTTATTAAAATTTAATTAAAACAGTAAACATATGTATGTATGTATGAGACAGGTCTCTAGACTTCGTAGGGCTCCCTGGGGGTTGTTCCCCTGTAAAAGTTCCTGTAGTTGCACCACCTCAGGGTTCCCGGAGCTTTTCCCGAGGGGATTTTCCCCATGAATATTGAGAAGGGTCCCGCAGGGGAGAAGGCTTTTGATGATCGCAACTAGATCCAGGCTTGCGCAGTGGCAAGTTGTGTAGTCGACAGTCCTGCAGAACAAGTCAGATGTTAGTGTTTTACAGATAGGAACGGAGAGAATTAGAGCAAAGGGAAGTTGCTTTGAAGGTCCGCAGGTTGAGGGCTGAGGGTAACAGCTGGAAGGTCCCCGGGCTGAGGGTCGTGGTTAGCTTGATGACCCCTTGCAGGAGCACTGAGGTGGACTGAGGGTTGGGCGCCACTTGAGTATCGGGTGAGGATGTCGCACATACCATTATTTTTCATTGCATTTAGGCCCAATATGCTCGACCTGTACTATCCACCAGGGGATGTCCACATTAGAGGGGTTGTAGTAGCCCAACCCGGAAATAAGTCGGAAGCCTATGTTGATGGAGTTGTGGGCGGGGCTCCACACATGTCTGATCAGCACAATCCGTGATTAAATCCTCTAATTGTAGATCGTAACTGCCTTAACCCTGTACTATAAATACTCCTTCCCTGGAGAAGAGATTATGCTCTTGATATTCAAAGAGCATTATCTAGCTTTGCCTGTTGTTATTTACAATTAATATTATAATCTTAGATCTATATTCATACTAACTCTAGTTGATTATAGTCTATCAGACTGTGTTTGCCCCAAAATTGCCAATGAGCAGCTATGTTGCAAAAATCGGGGTCAATTGGGGGGACTAAAAAGCAATTTTTAATCTATTAAATGTTGTTGTGTAGTGCTTTTTAAAAAAATTGTAATTGTGTGTAGGGATATTGCAACATAAAATGAGAAGGGAACTTTAAAGAAGACTCTAAAGCAACAAACTTGAAAGTGCATTTCATTTTTGAATGGGGTGCTATTAAATTAACTTACTGGGTATATTTAGTGCAGCCAGAACTGCAGGCAAGGCTCTAGAGGGAGAGATGTTGAGGGTGACATTGTCACATCCCAAAAATGGGAATGCACGTGATCTTAGAGTGGTTTCAGTAGTTCCATTGAGATCTGGTTTTCAGCCGATAATTACAACCTTGAAGGAATTGTATGAAATGAAAGATGGCTTGTAATTATCTTCTTGATTGATGGATGTCACAGCAGCATATCTAATTAACATCTTCACTGGCTGGCTCTTTTATTTTTCTCCTCCTCCATTATGTTTCTGGACATCATTTTTTATATGTTTGTATACAATTTGTATTCAAACAAACTTTTGGAGAACACTCTCTTTTGATTCAAAAGCACATGCGACATGGATATATCTTTCATATTTTGCTAATCTCCAGATACTAATTTATTTATTTAATTGCTGAGATATCCTGGAATGAGGAGGTGGCTGATAAATGAAGAATAGGTTGTGTGACTATGTATTGTTATGCCTAATGTTTATGCCTGTCATAAGCAGACTGCTGCATGGACTTGTTCATGCAATATTCAGAGAAAGAATGCCATTCCAATTGGATTTGAACACTAGTGGAGAACACTCATGTTTCACCCTATGGTGTCTCACGGTTATTGATGTGTTTCGACAACCCTATGCCGGTGACCCTTCTCCTCTTTTCACATCCTCAAACAACAACATTACTCCAGTGTCTCAAAGGCTCCTGTTTATGCGGGGTATGGAATATGTGGCTTAACTTCTATGTTTAAAACATAGAGACTGTTTTCACATGACAGTGTTGAAAGTTGCATTGACTGACTGCTACTTTACTATAAAAGAAACGCAAAGAGTCTAAAGAGTTATTTTGCTTTATTTTATCACACCCCGTGGTAAAAGAAAGTGAATCTTTGGCTCCAACAGAGATGCCGGAAAATTATTTCCACGTCCTTTTCAATGATTTTAAATCTGTGGTTCCCTCTCTAGGGATAGAAATTTCCTTCGTTTTCGCTCACCGCCACACATTAGCTCTGGGAGTCCGTTCCCTTATGAGTATCGAGGGTTGGTTAGGTGCCCCCGTCCTGTCCTTTGTACTTAATATTATTAGTAGTGAATAGTTTCATCACTTTTCCTCAAAAAAGGGACAAGGTCTATATAGGCACCCATTCCAGAGCATTAAAGGAATCATTTTGGTGTCAAATTTTGAATATAACCTGATATTTTTATTTCATGTACATAAAACACCAATAAATTGAACTTTTGTTTCTTCTTGGAAGCTGTGTGAAACAGAAACATTTTGGCATCTTTTTTTTCTTCTTGGGTGGGGATGAGGGGTACATCAGAAAGTATATTTAGTATGCTACATTGCTATGGTCCTTTATGGTTATGGTAATTTACATGGGAGCAAGATGCCCTTTTTCTGTTGAAGTAAGTTTGCCTTGCATCCACCTCTGAAGCATTTCTAATGCTGCCTTAGGTTGATCCATTGGAACCATATGGCCAGCATCTTTGACTTTAAGGAAAGTCAATGGTCCACTGTTCTTTTGTGTCCCTTTCACCTCACCCTCCACAGTAAATGTAATGTTGGGAGCTGTTTGGAAGGCTTTCTGCCCAGACCATTCCATGGCATGAACCCATCTTGAGTTTCCTGTTTCATTTTAGATGCAGTTTGATCATTATGATTATTATTGATTCTGCATTATAGCAAATACTATCATCTTTAAGATTGCTTGTAATGTTTATTGCTAATGAATTGAAGCTTACCGAGCCAGTTGCAGATAAGATCGTATTCCCCGGCGTATATCAGCAAATTGATTCCATCTTCAAGGAGGGGAGGAATGCCGACTTCAAGATTTCTCATCCAATCATTGATCATCGCGTTGTACACAATGGAACTGCATGATACGAAATCAATGTCGCCGACACCCAGAGCTGTTCTAACTTCTTTCTCTTCGAGGAACTTTTCCATGTTTGAGAAGTCATAGCAGAGGCTTCCTTCGCACTTCTTCCGGATATCATAGTACTACAGTTCATGCAAGGCAAGCTCTTCTTACTAGAGTGAAAAACAGCTTTTGATTGTTGAGACAATGTTTTTTTTACTCTAACAAACTCGAGCTTATTTGATAACCTTCGTATATGGAGTGCTTTTCGGAAAAAATTAGCATTTCTCTTCTTGCATATTGTTAGGTTTTTAAAGTCGAGCTTATTTGATAACCTTCATATATGGAATTATTTTAAAAGTTATTTTGTTAAATGGTGCGGTTCTTTTGACACAAGGGTGAAGCGTCATAATATGACACCGGTCAATTTGAGATCCATATGGTGCTCCGTTTGACCCGAAGTAAAATTTCCACCCCAACCCCCCTCTCTCCCCCCCACCCTAACCAGCCTCCTCCCTACCTCCCTGCCCGCCACCCCCTAGTTTTGGTTGGCATTCTAGTAAAAAATACCAAAATACTCCCTCTGTCCCGCTTTGTTTGTCCACTTTTGACCTTTGGAACTGTTCATCTAAGCACTTTGACTCATCAAATTCTCTCAATGTGTAAGCCTAAATATAGTCATGTGTGATCTTGTTTGATTTGTCTTAACATTTAGATTATTAATATATAATTTCTATAATTTTTTAATATACAAATTACAAGATAAAATGGATTAAAGAAGTGCATTGGATGGTGTGTAAAAATGAAAGTGGACAAATACTCTGGGACGGAGGTAGTATCAACTAAAAAATGTGGGTTCGATTCAGGGGGTGGGTAGGGGTGGGCTGGGATTGGAGGGTTTAGGGGGGTTGGAACCACTCTGGGATCAATCGGAGCACCGTAAGGCCTCAAATTGGCTCGTGTCATAATATGACACAGAGGTGCAGTGTCAAAAGAACCATGTTTAAAATATTTTTATATTCGATGTTATATCCTGTTATATCCTGTTACCCTGTTATATTGTGTTCTCTACCATATTTTTGTGCAGGTTGAGCCGGGGGTCCCTTGGAAACAGCCTCCCTACTTCCGAGTAGGGGCAAGGTCTGCATACACACACCCTCCCCAGACCCTACTGTAGTGGGATTCAACTGGGTTGTTGTTGTTGTTGTGTTGATGTTATGTTTCTAAACTAGCTTATTAGGTACTTTAATCACCCCCTAAAGAGTACATGCACCCAAAAAAATAATTGAAAATTTTGTTATTTGCCCCTACTCTACTCTCAAGTAGATGTAAGGTCTACATACACATACTCTCCCCACACACCCTACTTTCATGAGATTCTATTCGGTTGTTGTTGAAAGAGTTGTTATTCCTTACATTTATATTGTTCACATTTCTCAGTATATCTTCGAAGATGGTTGTGCATTTCTCATAAGCGTCCATGCAAGCATCTTCACCGCCAGCTCCTGGGTGAAAACAAGTAAAGAACACACAAAAAAAAAGCATGGCAATTGGAATCAAAAAAGCAGATAGCTAGAAATGGACGAATTGATGTGAAGGGAGCAAGGAGTAATGAAGGTATACAAGAAGTTTCAATTCACTCACCACAACGCTGAATCGCTTCTTTGCAGCCCGGAACAGCCTTGTTTATTCTTTCATGCTCAACCTGGTTGATCAGTTTGTTTTCCAAGGCATAGTCGGTGTAGGCTGGGTATTGGATTGATGGGTCTGTGAGTCCATTTCCAATGGCAAATCCCTGGGACCAAACGAGGTATGTATACATATACATGCATCAATACATATAGAAAACGATGTATGAGTGTAACGTAGTTGAAGATGGTGATATATATACTCCCTCCGTCCCACAAAACCCTTCTCCTTTCTTTTTTCATCCGTCCCAAAAAACACTTCTCTTTTCTTATTAAAAAGTCACATTTACCCCTATTAATTCTTAACATACGTATCACATCACACTTTTTCTCTATTAATCTACTTATCACATCCTGCTTTATTCATCACATCAAAAGACATTTTTGGAAAGTCAACACCAAAATACACTCCCCTTAAATCCTCTAAAAGTCAAAATGAGAAGTTTTTTAAGGGACGGAGGGAGTATAATATATAGACATGCCTTGAGGTTTATATAAGTTCCGTCCTTGTTTTTGTTTCCTTGATGGACCCGAGAAGCGAATGCCGGAATGTAATGCCCCGCGTATGATTCTCCTGTGATGAAGAAGTCGTTTTTGGCGTATTCGGGGTGTTGCTTGAAGAAGGCCTGTCATTCGTTGCATTTTAGTATTTGCACCATATCACTCACTAGAATCCCATAAGAGTAGGGTCTGGGGAATGAGTTCCGAAGATTACGGAATGGACAAACGATTATCGGGTACTTTTCAATTTTTGTTAGAATGTTACAATCATAAATAGAGTTTATTACATGACAGCAAGGTACTCTTGTTATTGAACCAACGTTATGAAATGACTTAGGGTTCATAGAGAGATTTCAGTCTATATGAAAACACAAAAAACATGATTTGAAGTGAGGATTGAACCACAATTAAGTTTTGGCACATTTCAGCAGTCAAAAAGTTACCAACAGGTGACCACAAATAACGGACCATTATAATGATATTACGTGGTAAAAAAATTTAGAACAAATAACAAAATTAGCATCACAATTTTTTAGTTTAAGCATAACAATAATTCTCTTCTTTTTTAATGAAGAAGAAATTTAATTAGAAGGAAAAATGAGAAAAAAAAGGTATGCGTAATCATTATAACTGGGTGATAACTTTGTTTCGAGATGATTAATCAAATTTAAGATTTACTCCCTCCGTTCTATATCTTTCTTCCCGTTGCGCAAAACGAAGAAAAATCCCAAGTTTTTTCAATCTATTTTATTTAAATATTGGTATAGAAATAAAAAATAAAACATACATATTTAAAAAACACGAATAAATATAAATTCCCGTAAAGTTGGAATAGTGCTCTGGGAAGAAAGTTTTAGGACGGAGGGAGTATTTGGTAATGCCGTTTTTTATTAAATTTTTAATAGTGAGCAAATTCACCGAGGTTTGAACACCAGAGGAGACGAAACATTGGCTTTTTGTACGTCATTAGATTGAGAACAGTATGAATAAATGTTATCTTGTAATAGAGTCAATAACATTAAAAAAATTAATTTTTTATTTAGGGGCTGTTTGTTTCAGCCTCTTAATGGTTCAGATGTCTGAATGATTCAGCATTTAATGGTTCAGACTGTTTGTTTCAATCTCTTAATGGTTCAGATGTCTGAATGGTTAAGAGATTTGCCTCTGAATGGTTAAGTATTATACAGAGTCTGAATGGTTAAGAGCTCTTATCTGAATTGATCAGACATTTGCCTCTGAATAGTTAAGCAATATACTAGCTCTTAATGGTTCAGACCTCTTACTGGTTCAGCACTTTATGGTTCAGACCTCTTACTGGTTCAGCACTTACCTATTCAGAAGTTGCCAAACAACCCCTTAGTTAAGTGAATACCGCCTTCGTCTTAGTGTATTAATTTAATTTGATTTTTTTGAATCAAACTAGAGGAAGTTTAGACTTCAATTATATATAAAAAAATTTGCAATGTACTTCCTTCGTCCTAGAAACATCACCTGAGAATTTTGTTTTTTTGTGTGTCTTTATTAATTATTTGATAAAATAAAATATTTTTGTCATTTCTAATTTTATTGAATTTTTGATGTAGTGTTAAAATATACGGAGTATGTAAGTAATACTAGATTATTTTTTGTTGTTATACCAATATGGTAATAAATTAAGTTTTTTAAAAAATGGGATTGTACACGTTGTTCAAAGTGAGATAATGTTTTTGAAATGTATGTAGTATATATAAAAAATAAAAATTATTTTATTAGATCTATCTTGTTGAAAACATTCAAATTTTGATTTCATTGTATTAGATCGCAATATAAATTAAAATAATTAATGATAGAAATTTGTTTAAACTGAACAAACATACTAAGGAGTTTTTTTTATTTTGAAAACAAATATACTAAGGAGTTTTTTTTGAATAAATATACTAAGGAGTTTTTTTTACTAAGGAGTTTAAAAATATTACTATAAGTGCGAACTATTTTTTTTGGAAGTACTTTCACATTGTTGGACTTAAAATGAAGGGCATATATACCTGCAAAAAATCGTAGAGATCATTGCTGACGCCATTTTCGTCGTGGCGAAGGTCACCCTCATCCGAACTATAGCTGAAACCAGTTCCGGTCGGTTGATCAACATAGATAAGGTTCGAAACCTGCCAACCAAATTAACAAAAATATTACTCCCTCCGTCCCATTTTAAATTGCCTATTTTTCGTCCGTCCTGAAATAGGTTGCATGTTTCTTATTGTAGTAAACTTTTAAGAGTAAAATACATAAACTATTCCTAAAATAAGTCACTCCTCTCCATCTTATTTGATAAATAATATAGTTTTTCACATCTAGTTTTGTACATTTTTTTAATGTAATTTTTAAATGTGTAAAATTTATTGTTTATTCTACATGAATTTTTCTATAAAATGATTTAAAAGTTAAAACTAACATTTAACGAGAAGATTATTATAAAGTATTCGGTCGGGTGATCAATTATAGTAGGCATGACCAAAAGTATTATTGCGTTAAAGTCAATATATGGGTGTTTTATCACTAAAGAAATATTGCAATTACAAGCTGGCAACCTAGAAAACGTCATTATATGTGTCCAATTATTCAATTAACTGAATTAAGTAGTACATGGGATATGAATCAAATTAATTAGGTGGGAATATGACGAATAATTAAATTATTTGAATTGGACTTATATATATTGATTTTAAGACCTAATAGGATCTGCTAGAGATTCATTACCATTAAGATTCACTTCTGATTGTTTTTAATCTAACCTTTTGACTACAGTTTATGTTTATTTTGACTCAATTAATTAAACAAATTTTGATCATCAATTAATTGATTAAAATTTTTCCGTATATCAAAAATGGTTTCGTACCATTTATATATGTCGCATCAAAATTTCAAAAACAAGAAACAAAATCAAAATGAGATTGACAGATGAATACCTTGTCCCAACCATAATTGTTCCACGCAAGAGACAAATTGCTTGCAATTTGAAAAGGTCCATTCTCATAGAACAAAGCCAACTCACTGCTGCATCCCGGCCCTCCGGTCAGCCATATCACCACCGGGTCGCTATTCCGGCCTCTCGATTCGAAGAAGAAGTAGAACATGCTACGGCAACGACGATAATTAAACAATAATTTCGCGCGGAGAAGAACAAAATTCGTAATTAGCATTAGTTATTACAGTAAGATTTAGGTTATTACGTACACGTATATCTATATGTATATGTATATGTAAATATATATATACCTGGCGTTTTTGGTGTGTTGGAGTTTGAAATAACCGGCATGGTGGCCCAGGTCTTTGACTGAAGACCCGGACTCACCCAAGTAGTCAAGCTTGAAGCGTTTCTCGACGAGGCTCTGGCCGTTGTCGGGAAACGCTCTGGGTTGACCACGGTTGACCCGGCGGCCGGGAAAGAGATTGAGTTGCCTGATCAACTTCTCTGCCCGGCTGATCGGGAGGCGAGGATCGGTGGATGTCGGGAGACCGTCGTCGTTCTCTTCGGCCGCCGCTCTCGCGGGGGAAAGAGGGAGGGAGACATGGAGGAGGAGGAGGAGGAGAAGGGAGGAAGTTAGAAAGAGTGTTGGTGAGGCCATATATGTTTTTTTCAAAGTTAGTTTTGTTGAGTGCAAGTTTATTGTGTGTTTGGCGGTTGGGAATTGCTTATTTATAGGAGTAGTGGGGAGAGGGAGATAGAGAGAGACAATATAATATTTACTCCGTTTTATTTATTTTTTGAGATCTAATTGGATGGGTGTCCCCACTTATCTATTTTTAGAGAGTGTCAAAAATTCATCTATTTTAAAATTTTTTTTGTAAAGTCCTGTGATTTCTAAATAAAGCACAGAACCCCACTTATCTATTTTTAGTATTAAAATGATATTTATACCCTTTCTTTTCCTTTTTCTTGAATTTCTACTTTTTTATTTTCCTTTAATATATAAATAATTAAAATAAAATATACGCTCTCAAATTAAAATTATAATTTTTCACTTACGTATTTCTCAAAACATAAAAAAAATTGATAAAGATAATGAAAAGAAAGAAAAAACAATCTTTTTCTTTTACTCAGTATTTATTTCATCTTTCTGCTCATCATATTTCTAAAGTCCCAAAAAAATTATTTTACCTTTAAAAAACAAAAATTCTTTTTCAGTGAATACTTTTTAAACTTTGATCACAAATTATGAAAAAATGCATTGAATTGTTGTATAAGTTTAATATATATAGATTTGTTTTAAAACATAATTTTGAAATAATAAATTTTTATAGTATGTATTTGTTGTTTGTAAATAGTTATTAATTAAAATATTATATCATCTATTGTGAAACATTAAATGAGAATAAAAAAAATGGGAAAGGGAATATTGTGAATGAGACGTAGTGATTGGATTTGGGAACGCACTGGGAAATTTTACGCCACGATTTCTAAGCATTTTAATTAATTAATAGATTGAGTAAATGGTAATCGGATTTGCTGATTTTGTTTTTTTAGACCCACAAAGCACGTGAATAAAGGAGACTTTCCATAGTGCCTCTTTTTTATTTGGAAAAGTCTTTTGTGTGCATAAGTTGGATACTATTCATTTTTAGCTTACATACTTACATGGATAAATATTTTACTCACATACTCCTTCCCTTTAGTAAAAGTTTTTACTTTATATGTTTCGACATTTGATTGAGTTCTTTCTAATCCAATTGATTTAATATTTGGTGTATAATTAAAAATTAAAATAAGATGTGACTCGGCTATTTTATATTAACAAATAACCAATGAAAATATTTACAAGTTCAAGATATGGTTTGACAACTTATGATGGCTTTTAACCCATCGCGAATGATTAGGGAAGCTGGATGTCCCTATCTTTGGGTACATCGTGTAACAAAAACCTTATTTTTATGAAATATTTACATTAAATAGCACTAAAACTTAAGTCATTCCCCTAAATAGTACTCAAACTGTTTTATTCCTTAAATAGCACTTAATAATATCCATAATGTCCAGTGATGACAAATATTTACTTGAATAATGACTAATGCATAATGACTAAAAGTGCTACATTAGGAAGAAAAACACATGTGGTGCTATTTAGGTAAAGTCATTATGTTTTACTGCTATTTAAGTAAATTCTCCTATTTTTATTTGATCCTCTACTGCAGATTGAAGATGATATGCATCGATCGTAAGGGAGCGGCAGAGCCTTAGGTGCGATGAAGAAAAGGATGCGGAGATGACGCCGGCTTCTATTGGCATCAATGACTCCTTGGGCAATTGCGGAAGTCCTAGATGCGATGAAGAGGAGGAGCCACATTGTAGTGGACCATTCGCTCGAAATCCAAGTTGACGTCTACGGTTGCCACTCAGAAGGTGGTTGGAGTTTCATGTAGCTACACGACATTGGTCGGTGCTTAGCTTCTCGCAGTTGCATGGAGGTTGTCGACGATGGGAAACCCTCGCTAGACTGTGAGAGTTTTATGTTACTCCTAAATGTACATTTTGTATAATTGTAATGAACATCTTGTGTAAAAATGAGTATTGTATATCTCACAAATGAACATGTGACAAATATATAACTAAAAAATTCCAAAATGAATATATATTAGTCTGAAATAAGTATTCACGCGGATGTAACTAAAGTATGGCACATTCTATTTTACTATATATACCAACTCCTCTCATATATTTTTTCACTTTTAGGTGTACATTTTTCTTTATTTTAGTCGAAATGAACATTGTATTACATGTAAATATATATTTTGTATAAATGTAATGAGAATTATGTAGTTCTCCCATGAGTACATGTATATTTATCATGTGCATGCTTTGAATAGATTGTTAGTTTCGTGTGTTGTCTTCCCTCAATACTGTGTTAACTGAGTTTTGTAATTCGTTGGTATTATTTTTTGACAAACAAATAGGTCTGAGATATTGTTGTTGCTTATCCGTTTTGTGTTAGAATAGAGTGTAGCATCATGTTCGTCATTATGTTGCTGAAGCATTATGTGCTACATCATTTGGTCTGTCATCTTAATATACTGTGAAGGAATCCTACTCGGTGAAGGAATCTTGCTATTTCAGAAATTCAAGGTGGCGTATAATTTTGTGCAGTGCAACTTGTTATAATTTTGGAAGCTTGTATATCTCGTGCACAAGTATTGAGAAAAAAAGGAATGCGCTACGCAACTTGTTGCACAAGATGACTTGCTGCCTAAGAAGAAAACTTGTTGCACAAGATGACTTGCTGCCTAAGAAGAATTGTTGTTGGCTTTGAATGCCAAATCCCATCGTTTTAATGTGTCAAATAAGACTTTCAAGTTACTAACTTTTTGCAGGTCCAATGAAATGCTCAAACCTCACTAAACTTGTTTCGTCTTACCAAGAATGTTTCGAGACAAGCATAAATATATGAAATGTTAAGGGTATGATTGGAATTATGTAATCACCCTTGCCCTTACACTTATTGCTAATATTTTTATATCATCTTTGAGAGGAGTGATTTGAAAATCAAATCAAAAGACAATTGTCGAACAGTACTTACATACTAGAAATATGGTACATGACTACTAGACACACGACTACTAGGTATCAGAAGAGACACGGAACTCCAAAGACTCTTGGCATGGCTTGAGACAGTACCCCTTACCGTGATGGTACCCCAGTAGCAGAACAGGTACTGTAATTGTTTCAAAGTTTGTCAAATTTCCATTTTTGAATCTAATAAATCTTAAATCACTCTAAAACGTCTCTAAGATAATATTTACCTATTTGGATTAATTCCTAACTTATATAAACCCCTTCTAAGCTTCATTTTCATACCAAGAACATCACATTCTATCAGAAACACCTTTCTAGCCATTTTGAGTGATTGAAGCTTCTATTTTCATTACTTTTAATATTTTTTAGTAGCTAGCTCTGAACTTTGATATTTCATCATATACTATCTTGCTCATAGGCTTCTTGTTGTTAATTCATTTTTGTTCTTCTTCTACCCAATTCTGATTTTTATCTCTTTGGTAAAAAAGCAGTTTATTTTCAATTTTCTGTAAAGGTATGGATATGATTTAAATCCTCTTTTGTTAAAGGTTCAAGATAGCCTCGAAATCTTCATTTTTAAGTAGGTAGAGATAGTCATTGTAAAATTTGTATACATATTAGCAAGGAGTGTTTGCCTTATCTCATTTGGGTTTTCTTGTAACACCTCAACCCGAATACACGGATTAGTGAACCAAGTTTTTACTAAATTGATATCTAAATACAACTTAATATAATTTTTAAAACAATTCAAATAATTATTTCAAAGTATAATTTAACATCCATTGAAGTAACAATCAAAACAATTCCAGAAGCTTAAGTCATTATTCAAAATACAACTTGGCGGGTCAAGCCCGTAAAAGTAATAAGTCATTTAAATAATAAATAATAATCCAAATTCATCAAATACGGCCACACACATCTCCTCATCCCCATCATCTTCCGAATTGACTCCAATTCATCATCTCCTAGATTACTTACGTGCAGCAAGAGAACAAATGTTACACACTCAGCATTGAGGCTAAGTGAGTAAATATCTAACATACAGTCATACACATAGATGACCTCACTAGCCCATATCATCAAACGATATCATGCACATAGAACATTCATAACAATATCACAACAACTCGTAAGATATAACCACACAGTAATGAAAATGTAAAGTACTCTTTACTGATTCAATTTACTTTATTTCGTATACTTGGCTTTTAACCCCTATGAGAGTCATGACCTTCCTATTCGGATCGAAGGTCAAGCTCAAACCAACTCGGGAGTTCCTCGTTGGGTGGGTGATATCTCTATCACCTTCGGAACGACGATTCATAGACCCCCGTGCGTGCATTTTTACCCAAATAGCCATTGGACCCAGCAAGTACCACATAGCTCTAACTTTCTATACTTATGGCATACCTTACCACTAATCCATTCAAGTCATTCTCTAAAGTTTCTCTAGATGATATGTTCATCATTCATTTGGATAAAAGTTTCATGCCTCAGCCCTCTATCCGGTGACGAATCTTATCTTGAATATAGAAAAGCACCCCAACTTTATCCTTACCCAAAAATTAATTTGATGGTTCAATTCTAGACCTGTGCAAACAAGGGTCGGCCCGTTCGGCCCGCCCAGCCCGCCCTTTAAAAAGGGCGGATATGGACAACCTTTAATACCCAAATGGGCGGACCGGCCCAAGCCCGAATTGTATATGGGCGGATCTGGAAGTTACTTTTAGGCCCGCCCATATTCATCAAATATATTTACTTTATTATTAATTACCTAGCCAATACAAATTTTAAAATTTTCTATAATTCATGTATAATACTCCGTAGTTTAATTCACTCACCTCTTTTTTAAAAAATCAATACTCTTTTAATGAATCAGTATGATGAGTTTATTAATTATGCAACAATATCACTATTATGCTTTCTATATAAATATGGTGACTGGTGATTTTATTTTAAACATTAAAAAAAGAGTTTAATGTTTTTTTTTAATTTTTTGTACAAAATAAATTTTCTGGATGTTTTATCCGGGCCGGGCGGCCCGGTGGGCAGTTCGGCCCGCAAAGATGGGTGGGTATGGGTAAAGAATTTAGCCCATCAAATACGGGTCGGGCCAGGCCCGCCAATGTAAATGGACTAATAATTTATATTAAGCCCGGCCCAAATTCGGCCCGGATCCTTATTTGCACAGGTCTATTCAATTCCTATCTCTTCTAACTTCCACAAGAGTTGCAAACCCCAGCCCTTGTACCCCCCCCCCCCCCCCCCCCCCCTCCCGTCAAAATATATGATCATCACGCAATTACG